AGACCATTTAGGTTCTTAAATGTGTGGTTACTACACCCTAATTTCTTACCTTTCGTGGAAAAATGGTGGTTGGAGCATCACATGGAGGGTTGGGCTGGTTTCAGATTATTTTAAAAGATGAAGAAGCTAAAATTAGCACTTAAACAGTGGAACAATGATGTATTTGGTAATATAAATACTAAGTTAAAGCAAGTAGAGGAAGAGCTTCACAAGTTTGATCTGTTAGCAGAGGCAAGAGAGCTTGAAGAGGCTGAAAAAGTTAGAAGAAGAGAGGTTAGAGTTGAAGCTAGTAGATTAAACAGAATGGTGGAATGGATGTGGCTTCAGAAATCAAGACTGAATTGGAATATGAATGGTGATAAAAACACAAGATATTTTCATGTGATTGTTAAGTGCAGACAGGGGAGAAATGAAATCAATTCGTTAACTATCAGGGACGAAGTGCTTGATGATCCTTGTAAAGTGAAACAAGAGGTTCTAGCTCACTTTCAAAAACAATTTACTGAGGTTTGCAATGTAGACCTATATTGGAGGGTCCCTTCACGTCCGTGAGGGATAGCCCATTTTTTGATTTGCTGGAAGTTGAATTCTCTGAGGAAGAGATATGGTGCGCTGTTAAGGGCTATGATGGTAATAAGGCGCCAGGCCCATATGGGTTTAACTTGGCTAGTATTCAGAAGTTGTGGAAGGTGATGAAGACTGATGTGCTCAATTTCATGGCTGAGTTCCATAAAAATAGTAAGCTGGTTAAAGGAATCAACAGTTCCTTCATCACTTTGGTCCCCAAGAAGGAGAATCTAGTGGGTTTAGCTGACTACAGACCAATTAGTTTGGTTGGTTCACTATATAAAATCCTTACTAAGGTTCTATCCTCTAGGTTGAAAGCAATGCTTCCTTAAATCATTAGTGAAAATCAATCAGCACTTATTGGAGGTAGAAATATTTTAGATGGAGTGTTGGTGGCCAATGAGGTTGTGGATAGTTGGAAGAAAGCTAGGAAAAGAGGTTTGATCATAAAGTTAGACTTTGAGAAAGCCTATGACTCTTTGAATTGGGACTTTTTATTATCAATGAAGTTAAACTTTGGGTTTGGTGAAAAGTGGGTAAAGTGGATAAAGGAATGTATAACCTCTGCTAGATCATCTGCGCTTGTTAATAGAGCACCAACTGATGAGTTTAGTCCACAAAAAGGGCTCAGCCAAGGTGATTCACTATCCCCTTTCTTGTTCAACAAAGCAGCTGAGGGTTTAAGTATATTAATGTCAAGGGCTTTGGATCTGGAGTTGATAAAAGGGGTGAGAATTGGCACAGATGGGGCAGTTATTACTCATCTTCAGTTTGCTGATGATTCCCTAATTATGTGTGAAGCTAATGTTTTGGAAGTTCGTAATGTGAAGAGGATTTTGAGGTGTTTTGAGTTGCTGTCAGGTCTGAAGATCAACTACCACAAAAGTGTAATTAGTGGAGTGGGTGTTCCGGTTGAAGTTATGTCTGAAATTACATCAGTGTTAAACCTAGGATTACCATTGGGTGTTAATCCCAGCAGAAAAGCATCTTGGAAACCTGTTTTGGACAAAGTTAGAAGCAATTTGGCAGGTTGGAAAAGGAAATTACTCTCCTTCGCTGGGAGACTCACTTTAATTAAATATGTTATTTTTTCTTTGCCCATTTACTATCTGTCTTTGTATAAAATGCCACAAGGGGTTGGTAGAGAGCTGGATAAGATTTAGTCCTCTTTTCTCTGGGGAGGATTTGATTTGAGAAAGAAGATTCACCTAGTAAAATGGAAGGAAGTATCTAAACCAGTTGCGCAAGGGGGCTTAGGGTTTAGGAGAGCAAAGGAGGTCAATGATTGCCTTTTATTGAAATGGTAGTGGAGGTTTGGTGTTGAGAGCAAAGCTTTGTGGAGAAGAGTTATCTATAGTAAGTATAGGATTGAGGAGGGGAATTAGAGGCCTTTAATTAACCTTAACAGTAGGTGCTCTAAACTTTGGAAGGATATAGTATCAGGCCCTGAACAGAGCAGCAGCCTCATGGAGTTTTTTCTGGATAATTGTAAGGTGAAAATGGGCAATGGCAATAGAGTCAAGTTCTGGATTGATAAATGGTGTGTGAACTTATGTCTGAAAAATGAATTCCCATTATTGTATAGATTGGTAGTAAATAAGGGGGAGTCTTTATCTGCTATGATGGACAGAAAGGTGGATACTATTAAGTGGATATTCCAATTTAAAAGGGAGCTATATGATTGGGAAAGTGTGGAGGCCACCAGGTTGGTAAGCCAGTTAAAGGCTTGTCCTGTTTTTAGGAAATCATCCGAAGATACACTAGTTTGGAATGCCTCTTCAACTGGAAGATTCACAATGGGATCAGACTATAAATTTTTGGCAGATGGATTTGGCAACCTTAATCCTATCAGCAAAAGAATTTGGGTCAAGCACATTCCCCCTAGAGTTCAATGTTTTGGTTGGCTTGCATGGAAACGTAGGTTAAAGACTGCAGATTTTCTTATCAGGATTGGTGTTATGGATGCTAATTGTAGACACCCCATTTTTAACCGACCTTAAGACTCAGACGTCACCGATTGACCGCTCGGTGATGTTGCATATTGTGCTCGTTCAGAGGTCGCGGAGTCTTGGCCGTGAGCCTTGTCTCCGGACTTTCAGACTCTTTTGTGCTTTGCCTTGGTTTGCGAACTAGGTCTCGTATTCTCCGTCTTCTCTTCCCGAAGGGAGGGAGAGGTCTCGTAGATCATCTCTCAGTGGCCGTAGGCCGTTTTTCCTATTTCGGAGCCCGGTTCCCGATTTTTGGAACCGTCGGCCGTGTGCTTCGGTTCGGGACCGCTTAACCACCTCCGTTTGCTCCGGTTTTTGGTATACACCCCACCACCATCCATTCCAACGACTTGGAGCTGTTTTTCAGAGCTTAGGAGCACCATTTCTCAAACCAAGAGATGCTGGTCCATTGGTCTTCAAGGGTAAGCTTCTTTTCCTCTTTTTTGTTTCTATCTTGCTCTATATCTAAGACTTGCTTGAAAGCATTTTTGGGCTCCGACCCAAACTGTAAATAGTCATATTTTGAGCTCCTTTTCATGTTTGATTCAGGACCTTTTGCTGTTTGAGGTCTCCTACTATCACTTGCCTCTTTAACTCTCTTTTAGGCCTATTTTTGCATAGTATTTTAGGCTTATTTGTGAGCTGTTTTGTGGCTTGATATAAACTGTAAAGTGTCTTGTTTTGAGCCCCTCTTCAACTTTGTTGAAGGGCTCTCTTCTGTTTGAGGCCAGCAGCTACCACTTGCCTCTTTATCTCTCTTTTAGGCCTATTTTTGGGGGGGGAATTTGAATTGATTTTCCCTCCAATTTTTCCCCCCTTTTCCTCCATTCCTCCCTCTATAAAACCAGAAGCTCCAGCTACATTTTGGGTTAGAAAAAAATTTTGTTTAAGCCTCCTACATTTAATTTCTCTCTCTCTATATTCCAAGCATCAAAACCCTTTTGTTTTTTTTTTGCCCCTTTCTACACCACCACGTAGCACCACCTCCTCACCATCCTTTCCATCACTTGGAGCTGGTTTTCCAGAGGCAAGGAGCACCTTTTCTCAAGCCAAGAGTTGTTGAAGCATTGGTCTTCAAGGGTAAGTCTTCTATCCCTCTCTTTGGCCCTATTTTTGCTCAATATATTAGCTCCTCTTGCTTGCATATTTGGGCTCCGACCCTAACTGAAAATAGCATTATTTTGAGCTCCTTTTCATGTTTTTTTAAGGGTCTCTCCCTGTTTGAGGCTTCCTTTTTACACTTGCTTCTTTACCTCTCTTGTATGCCTCTTTCTTGCATAGTATTTTAGGCTCATTTGTAAATTGTTTCAAGCTTGGTTATAAACTGAAAAGTGGCTTATTTTTAGCCCTTCTTTAACATTGTTGAAGGGCTATTCACTATTTGAGGCTTCCTTTTGTCACTTGCCTCTTTATCCCTCTTTTGGCCTTATTTTTGCATGTTTTGTTAGCCCCTTGTTCTTGTATTTTTGGGCTTCGACCCAAACTTAAAATAGTCATATTTTGACCCCCTCTTCATGTTTGATCAAGGGTCCTTTGCTGTTTGAGGTTCCCTTTTTGAATAATTCTCTGCATTCCTAACTGCATGAAATAAAATAGTGAAACTATTTGGAAAAGGTTGCAATTTGGGTCTATGATCTTGCACTTTCTGATTCAAGCTGAGTCTGTGAACCTCTGTTGTTATGAAGTAAAAAGGTTGCAATTTTCAATTCTTCTTTATTTGAATTTCTTTGATTATGATGATTACATAATTTGATGATTCTGAAACAAAGACTAGGTACAACTTGAAGATTTGTTGTGTGTTCCTCGAATTATGAACATACAGGGGCTTCTTGCATTTTTTTTACACATATTGTCACCAACCTTTTGATCCTTCAGTAAATTAATTGGGATGTGAAGTATTTTTGCTGTATCGTGAACTATTTATTTGATTGTTTCCATAAATAACTTTCCCCAATAATTTGTTTGATACCAGTGCAAACCACATTATCCAAGCAACCTTCCCTCCTTAGTGTCTATTTTATTCTTAGTTGGCTAAGCTATGTTGTGCACATATATCACTTTACCCTTGGATCTAAATGAATAAATTTGGGAGCTATAACAAATCAGCCCTGTTGCTATGTCCTGCAATTTTTTGTTTTAGATGAGTGCCACACATAGCTATGTCTATAGACATGCGCTTGAAATACTTGCCTCAGTCCATACACCAGTTACATTGGCTTGTAAGGCCTCCTTGCCTGATTTTTTATTTTTATTTTTATTTTTATTTTTTGTTAGAACGCCTTTTTATCATTTTAATTGTCTCTGTTAGAATAACTTAAATTGTTGTTTTATGCTTAAGCATATCATCGTGCAGATAATCATTTATTGTCTTGCTTATGGTGTACTTAATTATTATTGTTGCTGAGATAACCAGAATCCAGGAGTTCCCGCTATTGCAGCCTCAAAGCTTTCATCGCTTCCTCCTGAACCTGTTGACTATTATGCCTTTGTCATGGATTCCCTGAAGGTCTATCACAACCTTGTTCTATATTTAGACACCTTAAAATTACCCTATGAGGCCTAAATACTACATTTTCTATTTTGTGCACTTTAGGCATAATTCATCTTTATGGGTAATCAATTATCAATTTTGATGTTGAATGTGAAAACTACCTTCATGATTGTATGCTGCTTCTCCCAAAGACTTGTGTCACATACCCTCCCTTTGTGTGTGTGTGTGTGTGTCTGCGTGTTTTGGGGAGAGGCTTATAGTCATCTACATCAACTACCTTTCATGTTCAAATCATGGAATTCTGATGAAATTTCTTTGAATTTCCCAAATTTGAGGATTTTTTTTTTAACATTAATTTCCAAAATGACATCAAAAAATTGATATGAAATGGAAATTGGGATCTATTTGGGAATTTTCTGTTATAAAATTGTCTGTTAACCCATTACAGGACTGATAGTGCATTGAAGTTTGGGTGGTTTTTCTTGAGTTACGTGGTAAGCTTTTGCATCTTCTAGTTAGATTTGTTTTCAACATTAGCGTGCCATGTAGCTTTGTTTTAGAAACTTTCTTGATATTTTGAGGTATTTAATTTACCTAATCTTTGGTTTCATTTGTTCCACATCAGGTATTATGCCAAAAATATTACCGGAGATATCTATGAATCTGGGTGGATTAGTGAGATGTACGGTTATTCTTTTGGT